TCCGTTGCAAGTAAAAACTGCAAAACTTTGGTTTAGATTTCGATTTACTATTTCTTATATAATTGATTACGAAACTCTACGCTTATATGCTTTAGTTACGTTAGAGTATGTATTTTATCTAAGTGATGTGTTTTAATTGTAAATGTAATTCAAGAACTAAATCGTTGCATTTTTATCTTTTGCCAAAGGATTTAATTCGGTACGTATATTTGTTAGTGCATAATTAACTAATGATAATTTTTCCTAGTACACGGAAAAAAATAATCGGTAGACTCTACCGAAAAAATCGGTAGACTCTACCGATAAAATTGGTAGTCTCTACCAAAAAAAATCGGTTTCCTCAACCGATTTTTATCGGTAGCAGCTACCGATTATTTTCGGTAGAGTCTACCGATTTTTTCGGTGCAGGCTACCGAAAAAATCGATTACCAATTTTTGAAAATTTTTGTATTTTTTTAGCGAGAAGTTAAATACTCGCTTTTTATTAAATAGAAAATAGTATTTTTTTTGAGGTATAAATAAATTTGAAATACAAAAATATTAAAAATGAGGAGTAATTTTTATTAAATTTTTTACAATTCTAAATAAATATTAAATTAAATGTCTGGCGGCTACAAAGTAGAGATTTTTTTTTTGTATTAATAAACAAGGTTCTAAATTTGGTAATTTGCTCTTATTCTTTGTCATACTTGATTTATAATCAATTTCAACGCAATAAGCATGATACCAACAGAAGTGCAAGCGCGGGGAATTTTGAATTTCGAGACAGTTTTCTTTTCAGTACTAAAATCACCAATATGTACTGTACAGAGCTGTCACAAGTCACTTCTAAAAAGACTTAAGTCATAAGTCGTAAGTCTTTTTTGAAATTAAAATGACTTAAGTCTTAAGTCATTTTTTCTATAAAACAGAAAAGATTTAAGTCTTAAGCCTTTCAAAAAGACTTAAGTCTTTTTTTTTAAGCCTTAAGTCTTATTAAAAATGACTTAAATCAAATATATAACGACTTAAATCTAGAAAAAGACTTAAGTCATTTTTTAGGGACTTAAGTCCCTAAAAATACTTAAGTCATTTTTAGATTTAAGTCGTTTTATAGGTTTAAGTCGAAAAAAAAAGATTTAAGTCAAAAAAAAAGATTTAAGTAAAAAAAAAACAAATACCTTACTCATTTTGAGAGATTCAAAACAAGATCAAAGAGTATATATCTAATATACTCTTTGACAAGACTTTTAATGAAATTTATTTTTAAAATAGGTGCATAAGAAAAAGTTGATCACTTAATTAGTCAATTATTGTATTGTATATAATAATGTACTGGCACACAGTGTTGGAAATGCCCAAAAAGCTGGCCAAAACCTATAAAATCTACATTAATATATTTGAGTAAATTTAAATTTTTTTCATTAGTAAACTAATAAAGGTATGTTAAAAACATATAACAAATTTCTTAAGTTTCATAACTGATTTAGTAGAGAAGGTCAAATTTGAACTTTCTTGAAGTGATTTTTTTCCATTTCAAGTATCCAGTAAAAAAGGTACTTTTTCAAATATTATTTTTTTAATTATCATTAAAGTATATGCTATTTTTAAATGAATTAAAACGATTTTTTAGTGAAAACGTATTTATTATATATGTAACCAAACTTATGTTATCTTTAATTAAAGTTAGTTAACAGAAAATGTATTATTACCCTATATTTGAAGCAATAATACACGCGTAATGTAATTTTACCATATTATGAAAAATATTTTTTTAATGTTACACTTTAACTACTGTTTTATTACACTAGATGTAATGAAACATTACATATGGGATGTAAATTTACCCTACGCCACAGTGGTCATAAACGACCTACGTAGAATATTGTAAATTTACACCATTTCTTCTTACAGTGTACGATAAAATCTTATAGTGCAAGCAGGTTTTAATACCGGCAAAACATCTTAACCGCCTAAACAAGCAATAATTATTATTATTATTGCAAAAATTTAATTTTTTGTTAATTTTATGTAATATCCAACTTTGCAAATTTCAAAAATACCAAAACTTTAGGAATTTTAAACAAATGGAAAGTATATTATACAAAAACCTCGTTCCTGTAAAATTTGCATTTACACATACGTTTTTTTGCAAAATAATTATTATTATTATTGCAAAAATTTAATTTTTTGTTAATTTTATGTAATATCCAACTTTGCAAATTTCAAAAATACCAAAACTTTAGGAATTTTAAACAAATGGAAAGTATATTATACAAAAACCTCGTTCCTGTAAAATTTGCATTTACACATACGTTTTTTTGCCAAAATGGTATTGATATATCGTTAGTATATCGTTAGTACCTTGAAGGTAATACCTTCTTCCTCAAGAACTTTGTTAAAATTAACTTAAAACTAATCACAGAGTCAAGCGTGACAGTGTCACATTGCTTGCCTAAGGATGTCGAATACGACAAATTAGAATTTGTGAAAATCAGCGTGTGAGATACGACATAAGAATATTTATTTAAATAATAAACAATTTGACCTCAAAAATTATAACATAAGCTGCACAACATTATTACGATTCAATTTTTAAAAAAGTTAATTTTTCAAATTATATTATATCAAATTACTTACCGTACCACCCCTTTGAATTTGTATCTAAAATGTTTAAATACAACATAATATATAATATTATATTATACTTACCGCAATATTAAAACTTATATAAAGAAATGACACACATTTATTAAAGGTGCAGAGAAAATTTTTTAACATGCAATTTTACCTCGACGCAACGTTCAAACCATCAAAATAGTAGTTTTAAAAATTATTAAATCATTGTTTATTTATTTTTTTAAGAATTTAATTCTTACCTATTTTGTCATTTTAAAAAGAATTAAATCATTATTTTGACTTAAGTCATTTTAAAAAGATTTAAATCATTTTTAGACTTAAGTCATTTTAAAAAGATTTAAATAATTTTTAGACTTAAGTCATTTTAAAAAGACTTAAGTCATTTTTTTGTTTTAAGTCATTTTAAAAAGACTTAAGTCCTTACGCAAATGTAGAAAAAGCTTAATAATACAAGTCATTTTGAAAATGACTTAAGTCTTAAGTCTCAAGTCGTCCAAAAAAAAAGAGACTTAAATCAAATGACTTAAGTCACAAAAATGACTTAAGTTAAAAAAAGACTTAAGCTTTCTGCTGTCTGACAGCTCTGTATGTACATACCTAGAAATATATGCAAATTATTATTATATTTACATATAAAATAATTGACAAAACTGTATGTATTTATAATTGGATAAATAAACTTTCTTTATAATAGATGATAAAAAAAAACATTTCTTTGAATAGCATTTTTTAATAATTACAATGAATACCATCTCAAAATGTTTGACTGAAAAGAGTAATTTTTATTAACTTGAATAATGTTTAATATTATTTTTAAATGTTAATATTTTTAAGTATTAATATATTTTTTTTAATTTTCTAACAGCGCATCGATGCGGATTTTCTCGGTTACGGCTACCGAAAAAATCGGTAGACTCTACCGAAAAATAATCGGTAGCTACTACCGATAAAAATCGGTTGAGGGAACCGATTTTTTTTCGGTAGAGACTACCGATTTTTTCGGTAGAGTCTACCGATTGGCAATCGGTAGCTGCTACCGATTATTTTTTTCCTTGATAAAATTAATATTTAAGTTTGGATATTTTAAGAAATCTAACAAAAAATAATAGTTGCACAAACATAACCTTAAAATCAAATATTTTTATTTTTGAGCCCTCTAAAAAAACGCCGACAACTGCATTTTAAAATTGTTAACGACAAAAAATATCTATTCTGCAGAAAAGTGCTTTATTAAATATTAAAACTAAAATTATAATGTTTTTGGTAAAAAGTATCATTTTTTGAAATTTTTGTGTACTTTTTTTAATTACTAATTAAATTGAAAAGGCAACAAACTGAATGGGTTTCGGTATAAACATTACTCTTCAACTATTATTTTATATTTTTTTATTCACATCATGCCTAAAGTACCCAAAAATTCTCCAATCTTATTTATTAGGTCTGATCAAAGTTTATTATCGAATTGAAGTATAAAGGAGCCTTTACTTTATCATTCAAGCACATTCAAGTGCATCTATTAATTTTTGACATTTAAAATTTAAATTGTATTTTTACTTGAAAGTGATTTTAAGAACCAAAAATAAAAAATGAGCAGGAAATGGCAGAGAAAGAGAAAGGAGACGAAACTTTATGTCGTAGTTGTAAATTTGTTTTGTTTTTGTTGCGGTACCTTTACGCCCAAGCAAAAATGATCTCCGTTTTGTAAAGAATTAGCGTTAATATGTCATTTAAAATACATTTTCCTTTTTTTCATCCTAATAAATTTGACGAACTGATGAACATGGAGAACGATTTTACCAAGCAACTGCAAATCTAGAGCATTGGTAGATATCTATGGGTATAGCGGAAAGAAGTTGGATTCATTACTAAGAGACATTTGCTGGAATTTGCAGCAAAATATGTACGGTGATGAGGATTAAGCACAATAATACCATAATTCAATTCGATATTGGATACGATTTAATAAATTTAAGGTATAAAAAAACAAAATTATGCAATGCATTAAATTTTGTGGGCTTAATTTCGATAAAAAATACCGAAACTTGTTTACTTTGTTGCCCTTTCAATTCAATTTTTAAAATAAACGACAAAAAATGTCAAATAATGGTTGTTTTATTACATAAAATACGTTAAAATTTTAGTTTTTGTATTTAAAATGTCATATTGTTAAGATAAATATGATCTATTTGCCATATACTAATTACTTCAGTACATTCAAGATAAATTTAAGCCAAAATAATTTTAAATCCTAGACGTCCTAGAGAAACACAAATGACGTTTTTGAAATCAGCGGCCCAAAATTAGTTAAACTAAGCTGGAGTACCTACTTAATGTTAGGAAAAAAAGTTTCTAAAACTATCATAGTGTAATTAAAGGTTTACCTGTGCTTTGGATGGATGAGGTCCACCCTGGAACTCCAAAATTCCATAAGCATCCGTGGGTAAGGTAACTGTGCACTTGCTTGGAAACCATATTTCGCAGCCGAACGGTAACGGATTCGTGGATTGGTCTTTCAAAAATTTGTGCTCCCCAAGACTACGGCCGCAGCAGCATCTGAAATGAAAAAAAAAATATTTTAAATAAATAAATATATCTCCACGAGGTCTATAATTTAAACTTTATTGTTGTCAACATTCGATAAAGAAATACTTTGTTATGGCCTAGGCCGATAAAAATTTTTATAAGGCAAGTAATTAGTTCCATTTTTTCTCGCTAGGGGTATTGTTTTGACAAATTAATCCTTTTCTAAGAAATGAACGTACTAAACTGGTTTAATTTATTTATAATAAGCACTAATTTGTTTGTTTTACTGTTAATGTTTAATATTTTTCATTAAATTATTGGTAAATTAAATATGAATAATAAAACAAAAGGTGAGGTTAGGCAACCAAGAAAACGCACGATTCTTTTTTTAGGATTTAAATTATCTTTAAGTTTTCAGTGAAATTAATTGTTAAACACAGCTTAAACATTCCAAACTACCTATTTTTTAAATCAAAATCCAAACAAATTGAAATTAGATACCTACCTATTTATTAAACAATTAATTTATTTCAATGTAATAGCAAAAATCCCTTTCTACTTAAATCATGTTGCTAGGTATTGTCAAACTATAACTGCTTCTAAAAGCAATAGGTAATAATTATTGTAAATTTAATGTAATCTTTAGCTAAGAAATAAATGAGATTCTAAAAAAGTGAGGTTAGGCCGCTTTGATGTTGAATTAAATATAAAATGCTTTGAAGATAAAATGTTGTATGCCATTCGGCCAAGAAGTGCCTTTTTGTGCTTCGCTCAATTGTCGGCGTCGGCCTTCAAACCTTGAGCTTAGCACAAAAAGCCTTACTTCTTAACCTAATGACATAAATAACTATTGTTTGAATAAAATTCTATTAGGATTGCTTTCTTTACATGTGTGTGTAACATACGGCAACACTGAGTATTTTGGAACATTAGAATAATAAAAAAAGAAATATTAATAAAAAAAACAGTCACTTCATTTTCAGTTTAACTTAAAAAATCCAAAATATCCTGTTGCCAGATGTTACATTAAAAATTAGAACAATAATTTAATTAACGAACTGGGAACATCTGGTCATGTTAAAAGTCCTTTAAATCCCTTCATGAATTGAACAAAGCAACTTTTAATATAACTAAAACATAAAATTAAAAAAAAACTACATAAAAACAAACTTAACAAATTAATTTATAAAACAAATTAAATAAGGAATATGTGCGTAATTTGGTTTACCATTCATTAGCTTTGGAAGTTAGCAGTGCATATTAAACTAAAAGACTAAAAGAGGCGCCTTTAACTAATAAAGATTCTCTACATCCACTTAATTTTACTTCAAACTCAAAGTTAACGTCTATGCAATCAGGGCCGATTTAATGGGGTAATAAGCAATTGCTTAATGCTTTGACGATAAATTTTAGATTTTAAAAGTTAATTTTCTTAAATGGGATTTTTACGTTTCATTATTAACTATACTTTATCTAAATTTTTAGTAGGCTATTTTTGGACCAAAAAGATTTCACAAAATGAGTGTTTTTTCACTTTTACAGCGACTATAATACTTCCAATCATTACTTTTTACACTCCCACCTTTAAAACGCCCTTTTAAATACACATTGACAAGTTGTGGCTCTATGGCACTTTAGTCACTACTGAAGTTGGTTTTAAGTTAGTTGACAGTTGTCAAATGTCATACAAATATTTAATTCAAATCATTTTTTAGAAAATATTAAGTTTTTAGTTGTTTATTAACTTTTCTAGCGAGTGCCTGAATTAAATTCGTGACTAAAATATCGTTTATAAAACTTTATCAAACTTGATATAATGTTAACATAATAGTATATTATGTATAAATATTATATTAACATTATAAACTTTATTTAGTTGCTTTGCAAAAAATTAGGTCAATTTTGACATTATTAATTTTAAATAGAAAATTTTAAAAAATTTGCTATTTGGCAAAAAATCATTGAAATTGAATCGGCAGTGAAAAAAACCTTAAAAAACAATCTTTATTCAATATTTTTTAAAGTATTTAAATTTTTCTAAAAATTGAGAAAAAGTACATAATGAAGGTGCGAATTTTGAAAATAAATGTATGGAGTTTATACTAAAATACGCTGTTAATGGTTTTATAACAGGTAAAAAAAATATATACCTAACTGTAAAAGAATTTGGTTATGATCGGAATTTTAATTTTTGCATATACCTTATTTGTAAAACTTGACACGCTTATTTTACCTACCAATAAACCCAATATACCATTTATATTAAGTATAACATAATGACGTCACAATAAATTAACCTCACTTTTTCTCAGTCAAATTATTTCTCTTTTATTTCATTCAATTCAATTCAATTTACTATAAGTAAAGTTTCGTTCAAATATGTAAACCATTTTTAAAATCATATTTATTTCATATACATAAATATGTAAGTAGGTAGGTATGTATCATCAGTATGTAAAAATAGCTGTAATTTATTGTTTATTTTTCTTCCTTTTCAATCCACTAGTGGAACAATATTTTCATTGTTTAAGTAATAGCTTAATTTGTTAATTTTCTCGAGCGTATATAGTATATTATTATATTATATCTATATTATTATACTATATTACTCCAATAAGTAAGTAGATAATTAAATGATTTTCAAAAAATAAATAAATAAAATCTGCCATCTGTCAAATGGTTAACCTCACTTTTTACCAATTTTAAATGTTATTATAGTTGCCTTCTCCCAAATTAAAATCCGATTGGTTTAAATTACAGTGCCTGATGCCTGACAAAGTGAATAATAAGTTCATTATACCCATTGTTATGCAGGGAATTTATAATGTTAATCGTTATTTACGAGAAAAAAAATACTATGCAATAGGAGTAGATAAATATAACTTAATTTTTTCGTATTTTTAACATTCAAAACTTGTCAATTAATTTATACATGTTATTTAAGTCAAAAACACCCAAACAATATAAACAACATTAGCGTCTATATTTTTCCCGACCATTACCATAACTGGCTTTATATACCAGTTACGTGACGGAGTCACTCCTTATAAGGACATCATGCACAACCTCATTTATTTCGCTAACTCAGTTGTCAGCATTTTTACCTTACTAAATTATTCATTATAATTTCGCAGTCTGTAATTAGCTATCACTCAATAAACTTATTTTAATTAAATTATATTTCATTCCAAAACAAAAGTTATTATTAAATAAAAATAAATTGTTTTTAAAAACTCTTTCGGGCACTATCGTAACGTAATTGGCGCAGTCGGAGTTTCACCAAGACAATTTGGCAAGAAATTGTTATCGTCCCTACGATTAATTGGTGATTGAACCAGGTGAAATTTCAAGTGAGCAGACACAAGAAACCATCACCACACCCGTCGCAAGTGAGAGGACATCACAGATGCAGACGGTACCAGCAACGATAATTTGCCTGTAAGTACTTATGTCATTTAATGAATATAGATTGTTCCCTAACGACCCCAAATCAGACTCAAGTTCCGAAACAGATAGCAGCGTCGATTTAGACGACACCATTATTGAAAATATTTTAAATCAAACCCCTGACATTAATCTTGCTAATTTAAATATTTCCGAAACAAATACCCCTAACCCAAACATGGCTAACGTCCTTAAACCCGAATACCTTAAAATGATCCCAGAATTTTCCGGAGAATCCGAACTTCTACCACGTTTTATTGAAATTTGTGAAAAAATAGTCACAAAATTCTATAATGCCCAAGACCCAACAGATTTTCAAAATGAATATTTAATGTCTAGTATTTTAGCAAAAGTAACAGGCGATGCCGCCATCAAAATTTCATCTTGTCTAATTACCAATTGGGCAGAACTAAAAACTGCTCTACATAATACATATAGCGATAAAAGAGATGTTTTTAGTTTAGGTATCGAAATGACCGAACTGAAACAAGGATTTAGAGAATCAGTTTTCGATTTTTATAATAATATTCTTACTTTACTTAATTTACAAATTGCTTACTTAACTATCCATCTTGAAAATGCAAACGAAACTGCTGTTTTAACAGCTTATTTAAGAAAATACGCTCTGCGTGTTCTTTTAAGAGGTCTTCGCGAACCTATAGGTTCACTTATGCGTACCAAAAACCCTGCAGATTTAAATACCGCACTTAATATGCTAACTAACGATTTTCAGTTAGAAATAAATAATCAAAATAGTAAAAATCATATTTCGCAACCTAAATCGAAATTTAACAACTATAAAGGAAATTTGCAAATGCACAAACAGCACCAAATTTTCCCAAAACCATTACCCTTAACGAATTATCCCCATAATTATCAACCAAAACCAAGAAATATGAACACTCAATCAAATAATACTAGTAACAATTTTAGTAATAGAAATAACTTTAATAATAGCAACAATTATCAAAACCAACCGGGTCCAAGTTATAGAAATGACGTTTTTAATCCAAACCCCAACGTGAGAGTGCCCAAACCAACCCCTATGAGTATCTCTACACGTAATACTAATATGTCACAGGGTAGGCAAAATTTTACAACTAATAATTTTAATAATCAAAACAGATCTTCCCCAAATGTTCAAATAGAGGAACTGTTTAATTTGCATAGCGACCCACACGTTGATTTCCCAAGCGAAAGCGAAAAAATTGACGACGGCGCGGATTTTTTAGGAAATTGAGCCTCGGAAGAATACAAATAATGAGTTTGACAAATGATAAAAGTGAACTTTCTTATATAATCTTTCCAAAGTTAAATTTAAAAATTTTGATAGACAATGGAAGCACAAAATCATTTGTTAAACCAGATATTGCAAATAGGTTATTTTCAAAAAACATAAAATACAACCCTTTTCTTATATCAAGCGCACACGGTACCTCCTTGGAAAAGTACAGTACAGAGATTCCTTGTGGAGCATTATTTAAAAATAATATAAATTTAAAATTTCATTTATTTAATTTCCATAAAGACTTTGATTGTTTATTAGGGTTAGACAATTTAAAGAAAATTAACGCGGTGATTGATCT